GTGCCTATATATGGTCATGATGTGCCTATATATGGTCATGATGTGCCAATATATAGTCATGATGTGCCTATATATATGGTCATCTTGTGCCCATATATAGTCATGATATGCCAATATATAGTCATGATGTGCCAATATATAGTCATGATGTGCCCATATATAGTCATGATGTGCCTATATATAGTCATGATGCGCCAATATATAGTCATGATGTGCCCATATGTGGTAATGAAATTTGAGTCTGGACAGGGTTTAAAAAAAAAAGGAAGCTCTTAAATTAATTATAGTAAAATTACTATAAATTTCTGTTCAATTTACTACAGACAAAAATTTTAAACAAAGAACAAATCAAGCCCACCACTCACTGCGTTGGACGATGGTCAGGTGATCGTCGGCCGACGAATATTGTCCATAACGACAGCCAATTTTGTTTGTTATATCTTCATTTTTGGAACATAAGAAAAGTTACATTGTAAATATAATATTATATAATATAAAACTCAGGTACGGTGCGCATGTATTTACAAACACTAACAAACTTGCCACAGTTTATTTATTTTCTGCAAAATAGGCCTATATGTTTATATATATATATATATATATATATATATATATATGTATATGTATAATATGTATATGTATAATTATATGTATATACATATATATGCATGTATATGTATGTATATATATAATTAAGGAAATGTATGTAGTCTAATGAGAACATAATACATCGTGTATATGCCTATTTTATATGAAGTATAAAGAATAGTTGTTACTATGATTTATATTTATATTGCAGATATGTGTACTGTATATTGGGGATGGTCTACGCAAACATATCGCATTTATAATATGTATACATTTTTTGTAATAGGCAATCAACGATATTGTTATCATAAAACGTGGATGCGTTTTCCCGCCTGCCACCCTTCCTCCTGCAGTACACTGGGACGCAGGCACCCTGTCACTTGGCTTGTTGGCTCCTTTTTTAGAATTAATTCCCCGGAAATTCGACCGATTGTGTGCGACGGTCACGTGACCTTTTGTCCTAAAAACCACTACCGAATCACACTAAGTATTGAAATACACGCCATCGTGTTGGGATTCAATATTTCGACATTAATTATGTCATCATCAGGAATTTAGTCCTGATGATGACATAATTAATGTCGAAATATTGAATCCCAACACGATGGCGTGTATTTCAATACTTGGAGTATGTATTATACTTTCTTATCTGAGATTAATCAGTGGACCTTTCGGAATCACACTATATATCAGCTTTTGTGTTACTGTGTATTGAGAGAAGCTGAGAAGTGGGCGGGTCCCCTATTTAATTCTCGTAGACAAGAATTAAATTTTTCATATGCTGATCTGTAAGTTGTTTTGTATTGTAGGTCTAATGGTGAATAGATAAATATAGGCAATGTTGAATTTTAGTAGCAATAGCATGATTGAACCTTGAATTTGAATATTTATCTTGATTACATTTTGTAATATTTATATTTTTGTTCGACTAATCAAATTGTTATCCAATAATAACGGACTGGGCCCTGTCGACTCAATACATTAGCAAACTTATAATAATTTTGATAGACGGTTATGATTTTTTTTTATCAAGAAGAGCAGGTCGAAGGTATAGAACCAAGGACGTAAATATATCCTTGATTGACGAAGGCTTTCAGTCGACTTAAGCCAGTTTTCTACTAGGCGAATTTATTCGTGCCTATCAAAGCACGGTTCGCTTCCTGAGCTTTGATTGGTTGCGCATTTTTTCGCTTCGCAAAAACTCCGATAGAAATGAGAATGCGTATGCGCATGGACCGACGCTTTTGATTGGCGCGAATTAATTCACCTAGTAGAAAACAGGTTTTTGGGCTTCTGCGCTTCTGCTCAATTTTGATATAAATATAACTTTGCTTAATGGACATGATTGATATTTTTTTCAATCGTATCAGTATTTTGAATGGTATAACATTGAATATATTGCTCCACTTGAGGTTAGCGGAAACATTTGAATTATTATTGTTTTCATTTTATGTTAGTGTTGTGGTTTGGTGATCAATAGACAAGCATCTACTTGTTTTTATATGTGTACCAGTGAACAATAGCCTGATCTGATGTACTGTAATAACAATCCTAAACATGTCAATCAACTAACTCACTCTATTTCAAAATTTATAATTTTATGTTGAGTATTAGAGGCTTGTGTAGGTAGGCATGTAACCATGGAAGCCAGTGTATTTCATGCTTCAGAAAACAACAATATTGTGTAGATAGATTGTAAAACATTAATAGAGATTTACCAAAGAATCAGCATTTGCACGAGTAGGTCTACAACATAGCATAATTAAAATGTAGCATAAGCGACACTATAAAGCTTATTGATTTAAAAAATGCCGAACATTACATTATCGTACTAATTTTTCTTGAAATGAAACCAAATAAAGAGCAGTTTTAAATAGTTATTATATACTGGCTATGACGTCATTGTGTGCTACTTTAAAAACAGTGTTACGAAGCCCTGTCCGGACTGTCAAATTTTATTTAAAAAAAACATGTGACATGCCTAAATATGGTCATGAGAACATTACATCTTGACCATATATAGGCACATCATGACTATATTTGGGCATGCAATAGCTATTTTTATTTTATATTACCTGTATAAACAAATTGAATAAGGTAAAGACGAAGGAAATTTTCTTGTTTATTTTATAATCTTGACAGAGCTTTAATGAATATGACGTAAAAATACATGAAAAATAACTCTACTGAGACTTGAACCTGGGTTCCAATTGTATTGGTTTTAAGGGTTCTAACCATAGCAACCCGACTCAGTATCGTTAATAGAATTTCTGTCTATCTGAATCGTGTGAATTTTAAAGGGTAACTAGTTTGAAACGCTTTTGTAAAAAAGAGCATAGGTGATGTTAAAATTCAATAAATTAAAAAATAAAATTATAATGTAAAAAACACATGAAAAACAAATTATGCGTAAGAAATATATGAAGTAAAAAGAAATAAACATGAAAATCAACTCGACGTCAATGAGAGTCAAACTATGGCTGCATTGGTAATAGCAATGTTATCGATAGTTCTTGCCATTACACCGACCCTTCGGAGGCCAAGTGCATTTTAAAGAAAAATATATCAGGACATAACGCAGGGAAAATCACTAGTCTTCCGAGTGATTCAAAAGAAAGGGCACAATTTCAGAAAACTGAGGGCGTACTTTACATTCTTGAAACTATCAGGAATAGAAGAATGCATGTTTACATTGTGGAAAAGCACAAATTTGTATGCAACATACTCTACTTCTTTTTCAGAATTTTCTGCAAATTTTAGTGGTAAGCTATATTGTTGTCATCATGTTG